TCAGTTCTGGCACAGCACACACGCGCAGTTCTGGCACAGCACACACGCGCAGTTCTGGCACAGCGCACACGCGCAGTTCTGGCACAGCGCGCACACACACACATATAAAGTGGGGGTTCTGAGCACTGTGGGCAGCAAGAGGGCAAAAAACAGTCCGAAAAAGCCCCCCAGCTCCTTCTCCGAAGCTTTGTCTGAGGAGAAGGAGCTGGGGGGCTTTTTCGGAATGTTTTTTGCCCTCTTACTGCCCACTGTGCCAGAACCCCCACTTTATATGTGTGTTCTTGGTTTTGTGATAGACTACGCTTGAATTTCTAAGCGTTTGCGTGACGCGGCATTTACATGACGGCCGAGAGAGTTGTCGTGTTGGTTAAAAATGTGACTTAATTCGGGTAATTTGGCTATCTGAACAGTTCTTAGCTTGTATAAGAAAAAGTATTATTTTAATGTTTTTGAGCTCCTCGAGAGATAAATTCACGCTTTTGTAGCAAAACTCAGTGACAGGTGTTTCTGTTGGTTTCCGGCCGCCATGTTGGTGCCCATCCGGATGGGCATCAGCATGGCGTCTCCCTACAAATCTCTATAAATTTGTGTAAAAAGTTTCTCCGCATATCTTGCATAAGAAAAATTGCTGAGACCTGAATCTTGGCGAGAGTCTGCGCATATTTATTTTCTTCCTTTTCTCAGATTCTGGACTTTATCTATTGAACAGTTTTGATTTTTATTTTGATCTATTTTGAATAGCGTGACACTGAAAACCAGCAATTATTCCAGAGCTCCGTGTCTTGGCGCTGACCAAAAGACACGTGGGCTCTGGGAACGAGATTGTCCCAGAGCGAGCTCGTTTTCCGACCGCTGGTCTAGGGGAACGAAGATTCTGGGAACGAGATTGGCTCGGTCCGCACAGCTTCAAATTTCCACTGAGCAGATTACCATAGTAGACACGGCTTCTGATTGGCTAACTGCGAATCGGCGAGACGGAAAACCCCGGGTGGAAAACGAGGGATGGGGCATCGGGATCGGGATCCAGGTATCCCGGGAGTTTGTAGAAAACACGGCGTGTGGAAAACATGGAATGCGGACGGAAAATACGGGATCTAGGTGGAAAACAAGAGGTTTCTGCGGAAAACACAGCGTTCTGCGTTTTTTCGCTAAAATATTGTTTTGTTGTAGAAAAAAGTAGCACGCAGACTGCGCGGATGAGAAACACTACGATAAAACGCATTGTTGAGAAAAAATTATCTTGTTTGATTTTTATGAAAGTAATATTCAATTATTATTAAATTTTGTTAATCAATTCAGCATCTTCGTGAAATAAGTTTTTTGATCAAAAAAGCGACACATTTCGGAAAAACCTTGTCTGCGTACTTTTTCTGTCCTGTATTTTATGTGAAATGTATGTTCCTGTGTATGTTACATGTCCTATAAAATGTAAGTCTGTCCGGAAAACGTTTTTCTTTTCTTATACGTGTTTGCTATTGGCTGTATGCCGGGTTTTCTCTTGTTCTACCCTTAATTCAAAATACTCTAAATGCTATCTTGGGGGATCCCGGGCCGGGGACGGCCGTTTGACTTTTTCCTGAGCCGACTATCTGCCCCTGGGGCGGTAAGATGAGAGACCATGGGAACGAGGTTGTGGGACTCCAAGGATGGGGGGATTATGGTCCACCGGATAAATCGCTATACAGCGGATAAGACAATCTTCTCCATCCTTAACCATCCTTGTTTCTTTATGGTTTATTAATTAATTATTATCTCTTTGGTGTTTCTCTATCTCTATTTTCAGGTTTCCCTCAGTTTAGAGGTAATTTTGCACGAGACCAAAATATCTCAAAATACCGTGATTGAGCTCCTTTAACATCTAAGAAAAAGCATACGGGACTAGTTTCCTTTTATTACATATTTCTGTTTTTCTTATCGTACTGTTGAACCTCTCTAATGCGGACTCCGAAGGGAAAGAGCGAATCGAAGTGTCCGTATTAGAGAGGTGTCCGGTCGATCCGTATTGGAGAGATCACTATGATGACGTCACTTTGAAGTCTCCGCTGACAGTTTGGAGTGTTAAGTAACTAAAATCAGGCCCAAAAGTGAGTGCCTTGTGAATTTCTGAATCTAAATTGATGAACTTAATTGTACTTCTCAGTTACGTGCTATGCATACAAATTTTGGAACAAAACGTATATTATCGACACCTGGTCCCCGGAGTGTCCGTTATAAAGAGGTTTTTAAAATTCGTATGAATTTGCTCCCTAGGGGCGAGATTTAGTATCCGTTGTCCGGTTTAGAGAGGGTCCGTATTTACAGAGGGTTATTTTAGAGGAAATGTAGGAGAATTTTGTCGGTACATAGGAAACTGTCCGTGTTAGAGAGGTGTCTGTATGGAAGGTTCGACTGTCAGTATATGGTTTAGCAGTCTGCTGTCCAGTCTCGTTTTCAGTACCGAGCACCAACAATCGTCGGGGACCCCTGGGTAATATCGGAGGTTAATAAGAAACAACAAACTGCGGTGACAAACATGATAATAAAAGGCGTGTCGGGAAACAAAATTCATTTCACTTGACGTTTCGTATGTTTCGACATATATTTTCAGAACTGACCGTTGAGAATAGAAGTAACAACTAAATTTTAATTTTAAGATAAGTAACTAATTAACAATAACAATGACAGACGTTGAAAAATTTGCATATTACAAAATGGAAACTAATAAAGATAAAGCTTTTCAGAGATCTTTCTTTATTAAGATCTTGCACGCTTCTCTCGGCCAGTAGTGGGAAGAGCTCGAGCGATATTCTCCCAGAACGGCCAACGCGTTCGTCTCGAGTAATTATATTGACTTCTGAATCGTTCTTGACCATATGTAAAAAAAAAGTCGGTACACGCGGAGTCCGTTTAATGGTAGTGAGCCAATGTGAATGCGTTGAGTGGGACTGGAGAAAGGCGCTGAAGTTTCAATTCTGATTTTGCCTTGTGCAAAGCCACAAAATGAAATCTGAAGTCCAGAAACGCCAGAAAGGAGAGAGACACTAATCAGCCAAAAATGTAGTGGCTGTTGTTTTTTCCCTTATTCTTCTTCTTCTTCTTCTTCTTCTTCTTCTTCTTCTTCTTCTTCTTCTTCTTTAAGGTTCTTCGATTAATTCTTAACTCGTCTCGATCTTTCAAAATACTTACCATTTTGGCCATTATTGGTTCATTATTTGCTTGTTAGTACTCTTCTACCTTTTTAATTTAATTTGTTATTTTCAGGCTTCTCCCTATTTAAAGTTAGGTTTGTGCAACGCACAATGAATTATAGATCGTGGTATCGCTGACTTACTTGGTTGTCAGTGCTTATAGTGCATCCAATTAGCTGCCGTGATATATTAAATCCGATTAACCAATCAGAGAACTCGTTGTAGAACTTGTTTCATATTTTGTTTACCAAGTAGATGTCTCTGTAGGAAGGTGGCTTTAATATCACGTGACCTGGGGTGCTCTGTTAAATAAACCATTTGTCAAAGTCATGGCTGGGCATTAAATATATCTGTAAGCATTGTCGCAGGCCGACATCACGCGAGTGAAAATGTCAGAAAAAGATTCAAACACTCACATAGAAGTTCCAGTTGTTAGTCAAATGGAGTACGAAATGCACAAAAAAAGTAAGTGCATTGCTTTGACAACAATGTTGTAGGCAATTTTAAACATTGTCTTTCATTGGTCACTGTATTGTAGAATTACAGTCGTAGTGCAAGTATGAATAAGACGTGTATGCGTATAATTCGCTCGGTCAAAGATATTTGCGTGTGTCGTGGTTATTGTGAAATTTCTCCATTTGCTGGGCAATTTAGCTCAAAAGCTATGCGAATTTGTCTTCTCTTTAGTGCAACTTAGCTTGTACTGATTGAAGTCATTTGCGATGCACGTTTAGCCAAGCAAGCAGGCACACGAAAAGATAGCAATTTTGCAGGGACCTTTTATTGGTCTTTATAAAAAAATTGTCAATGATAAAACTTATCTATTAGAGGTAGAAACATAAGCTACAGAATGTGGTTTACCATTCCTAAAAGATTGAAGATTAAATAAATGAAAGTCAGGCTACATCACTGGCTACCCTTGAATAGATCGTTAAAGTTTCCGTTCTGTTGATGGGCTTCGTCGCGGTCAAGGAAATAAACATGGCTTGTTTATACGGCACAGTTTCATTTCACTGAGCGATAAGATTGACCAAGTTTAGACTTGACTAGATTATTAGATACTGCAGTGTATATTTTTCAGGCACTGTTTCGATAATGGCGAAGACAAACCCAGGTAGTAGTTCTTGTAACGGTATATTGAACAAGATTAACAACAAACTTCCGAATTAAGAATTTACAGCCGGTGTGTCACTTTGATTACTTATACCTCTCTGAAGTGGACAAATCAATTTTCTGCTTTCTACGGAAAGGCGTTTGGAAGGTATTTCATTAGAGCAATTTTTACGTTTTGCGAAAACTGAAATCCACGATAAAAACCTGAAATGACTGAGGATATTTGTGCACTGGCGGCACACTTTTGCATATGATATGTCGCAACGTATTAGCAAGGAACTGAACAATATTCTTGGTTCAGTTGAAAGGCAATTCTGCCACCGTAGTCAAATACATGTACACAACTTGATGGAGGAATTTTGATTAGTTAATATTGCTTAAAAAACTTGAGTGGCGCGTGACTGACAATTGCATTGGTTTCCTGGCAAATCATGTCGGGTGAATTAAGATACAGAGAGAGCACAGCGGTAAACGTATAACTTTTTTTATCAGAAGGATAAATTTCACGGGATACAAGAATTTGCCTTACCAGTTATTTGCAAATCGATTTTTACTTGAAAAGCGATCTATATCAATGCTCTTAAGTTGCCCAGTTTGTATAATATCAGATTTTTGTCGGGCACTGAGTTTTGTTTAAAAGTTTCGGTGGATTTCAAGTTGCCTGAACAAGTCCAAATCGAGCATGAATTCACATTTCGTCAAAATCTACACAATTATGGCGAGCTTTGAAAACATCAGTTCTCCACAACATGGTATCAGCAGTTTTTTTCATTGTTGGTTCTCAATATAGCTTTTACGCAACTCAATATTGCAATGTAACGATGAATGCCAGCTTGCAATCTTGATGAAAATCTTTGATTTCCTTTTAACTTGCTATTGTTTTCTACTAAGCTAAAGACTGTAAAATAAATGTATGTTCAAATAAACTTCCGTGTCTTCAGTTCAGAAGTCTTTTCCAGCCCAATTTGGTGATTTAGAGTAAGTTTGTTTAAGTGACGGTAAACAATTAAGGCAACATCTTGTAGGTAGAATTGTTGAGATACGCTAACATAAAAGTAATGTAATATCCAGCGAAGATGTCATTGGCTTCCAGAATTCTGGAAAGAGTCAACAATCTTGGTCGAGATCATTGTTGTACAGTAGCAAAGAGGAAAGCTTTCCCTCGCGCACCTTAGAATTAACTGAGAAACAACGTACTTAAAAGATGGAAAGCTCTGATCCAAACAAACACGGTGATTTATAACTCCAGTAACTTTCTTCGATATNCACTGTGGGCAGCAAGAGGGCAAAAAACAGTCCGAAAAAGCCCCCCAGCTCCTTCTCCGAAGCTTTGTCTGAGGAGAAGGAGCTGGGGGGCTTTTTCGGAATGTTTTTTGCCCTCTTACTGCCCACTGTGCCAGAACCCCCACTTTATATGTGTGTTCTTGGTTTTGTGATAGACTACGCTTGAATTTCTAAGCGTTTGCGTGACGCGGCATTTACATGACGGCCGAGAGAGTTGTCGTGTTGGTTAAAAATGTGACTTAATTCGGGTAATTTGGCTATCTGAACAGTTCTTAGCTTGTATAAGAAAAAGTATTATTTTAATGTTTTTGAGCTCCTCGAGAGATAAATTCACGCTTTTGTAGCAAAACTCAGTGACAGGTGTTTCTGTTGGTTTCCGGCCGCCATGTTGGTGCCCATCCGGATGGGCATCAGCATGGCGTCTCCCTACAAATCTCTATAAATTTGTGTAAAAAGTTTCTCCGCATATCTTGCATAAGAAAAATTGCTGAGACCTGAATCTTGGCGAGAGTCTGCGCATATTTATTTTCTTCCTTTTCTCAGATTCTGGACTTTATCTATTGAACAGTTTTGATTTTTATTTTGATCTATTTTGAATAGCGTGACACTGAAAACCAGCAATTATTCCAGAGCTCCGTGTCTTGGCGCTGACCAAAAGACACGTGGGCTCTGGGAACGAGATTGTCCCAGAGCGAGCTCGTTTTCCGACCGCTGGTCTAGGGGAACGAAGATTCTGGGAACGAGATTGGCTCGGTCCGCACAGCTTCAAATTTCCACTGAGCAGATTACCATAGTAGACACGGCTTCTGATTGGCTAACTGCGAATCGGCGAGACGGAAAACCCCGGGTGGAAAACGAGGGATGGGGCATCGGGATCGGGATCCAGGTATCCCGGGAGTTTGTAGAAAACACGGCGTGTGGAAAACATGGAATGCGGACGGAAAATACGGGATCTAGGTGGAAAACAAGAGGTTTCTGCGGAAAACACAGCGTTCTGCGTTTTTTCGCTAAAATATTGTTTTGTTGTAGAAAAAAGTAGCACGCAGGCTGCGCGGATGAGAAACACTACGATAAAACGCATTGTTGAGAAAAAATTATCTTGTTTGATTTTTATGAAAGTAATATTCAATTATTATTAAATTTTGTTAATCAATTCAGCATCTTCGTGAAATAAGTTTTTTGATCAAAAAAGCGACACATTTCGGAAAAACCTTGTCTGCGTACTTTTTCTGTCCTGTATTTTATGTGAAATGTATGTTCCTGTGTATGTTACATGTCCTATAAAATGTAAGTCTGTCCGGAAAACGTTTTTCTTTTCTTATACGTGTTTGCTATTGGCTGTATGCCGGGTTTTCTCTTGTTCTACCCTTAATTCAAAATACTCTAAATGCTATCTTGGGGGATCCCGGGCCGGGGACGGCCGTTTGACTTTTTCCTGAGCCGACTATCTGCCCCTGGGGCGGTAAGATGAGAGACCATGGGAACGAGGTTGTGGGACTCCAAGGATGGGGGGATTATGGTCCACCGGATAAATCGCTATACAGCGGATAAGACAATCTTCTCCATCCTTAACCATCCTTGTTTCTTTATGGTTTATTAATTAATTATTATCTCTTTGGTGTTTCTCTATCTCTATTTTCAGGTTTCCCTCAGTTTAGAGGTAATTTTGCACGAGACCAAAATATCTCAAAATACCGTGATTGAGCTCCTTTAACATCTAAGAAAAAGCATACGGGACTAGTTTCCTTTTATTACATATTTCTGTTTTTCTTATCGTACTGTTGAACCTCTCTAATGCGGACTCCGAAGGGAAAGAGCGAATCGAAGTGTCCGTATTAGAGAGGTGTCCGGTCGATCCGTATTGGAGAGATCACTATGATGACGTCACTTTGAAGTCTCCGCTGACAGTTTGGAGTGTTAAGTAACTAAAATCAGGCCCAAAAGTGAGTGCCTTGTGAATTTCTGAATCTAAATTGATGAACTTAATTGTACTTCTCAGTTACGTGCTATGCATACAAATTTTGGAACAAAACGTATATTATCGACACCTGGTCCCCGGAGTGTCCGTTATAAAGAGGTTTTTAAAATTCGTATGAATTTGCTCCCTAGGGGCGAGATTTAGTATCCGTTGTCCGGTTTAGAGAGGGTCCGTATTTACAGAGGGTTATTTTAGAGGAAATGTAGGAGAATTTTGTCGGTACATAGGAAACTGTCCGTGTTAGAGAGGTGTCTGTATGGAAGGTTCGACTGTCAGTATATGGTTTAGCAGTCTGCTGTCCAGTCTCGTTTTCAGTACCGAGCACCAACAATCGTCGGGGACCCCTGGGTAATATCGGAGGTTAATAAGAAACAACAAACTGCGGTGACAAACATGATAATAAAAGGCGTGTCGGGAAACAAAATTCATTTCACTTGACGTTTCGTATGTTTCGACATATATTTTCAGAACTGACCGTTGAGAATAGAAGTAACAACTAAATTTTAATTTTAAGATAAGTAACTAATTAACAATAACAATGACAGACGTTGAAAAATTTGCATATTACAAAATGGAAACTAATAAAGATAAAGCTTTTCAGAGATCTTTCTTTATTAAGATCTTGCACGCTTCTCTCGGCCAGTAGTGGGAAGAGCTCGAGCGATATTCTCCCAGAACGGCCAACGCGTTCGTCTCGAGTAATTATATTGACTTCTGAATCGTTCTTGACCATATGTAAAAAAAAAGTCGGTACACGCGGAGTCCGTTTAATGGTAGTGAGCCAATGTGAATGCGTTGAGTGGGACTGGAGAAAGGCGCTGAAGTTTCAATTCTGATTTTGCCTTGTGCAAAGCCACAAAATGAAATCTGAAGTCCAGAAACGCCAGAAAGGAGAGAGACACTAATCAGCCAAAAATGTAGTGGCTGTTGTTTTTTCCCTTATTCTTCTTCTTCTTCTTCTTCTTCTTCTTCTTCTTCTTCTTCTTCTTCTTCTTCTTCTTCTTCTTCTTCTTCTTCTTCTTTAAGGTTCTTCGATTAATTCTTAACTCGTCTCGATCTTTCAAAATACTTACCATTTTGGCCATTATTGGTTCATTATTTGCTTGTTAGTACTCTTCTACCTTTTTAATTTAATTTGTTATTTTCAGGCTTCTCCCTATTTAAAGTTAGGTTTGTGCAACGCACAATGAATTATAGATCGTGGTATCGCTGACTTACTTGGTTGTCAGTGCTTATAGTGCATCCAATTAGCTGCCGTGATATATTAAATCCGATTAACCAATCAGAGAACTCGTTGTAGAACTTGTTTCATATTTTGTTTACCAAGTAGATGTCTCTGTAGGAAGGTGGCTTTAATATCACGTGACCTGGGGTGCTCTGTTAAATAAACCATTTGTCAAAGTCATGGCTGGGCATTAAATATATCTGTAAGCATTGTCGCAGGCCGACATCACGCGAGTGAAAATGTCAGAAAAAGATTCAAACACTCACATAGAAGTTCCAGTTGTTAGTCAAATGGAGTACGAAATGCACAAAAAAAGTAAGTGCATTGCTTTGACAACAATGTTGTAGGCAATTTTAAACATTGTCTTTCATTGGTCACTGTATTGTAGAATTACAGTCGTAGTGCAAGTATGAATAAGACGTGTATGCGTATAATTCGCTCGGTCAAAGATATTTGCGTGTGTCGTGGTTATTGTGAAATTTCTCCATTTGCTGGGCAATTTAGCTCAAAAGCTATGCGAATTTGTCTTCTCTTTAGTGCAACTTAGCTTGTACTGATTGAAGTCATTTGCGATGCACGTTTAGCCAAGCAAGCAGGCACACGAAAAGATAGCAATTTTGCAGGGACCTTTTATTGGTCTTTATAAAAAAATTGTCAATGATAAAACTTATCTATTAGAGGTAGAAACATAAGCTACAGAATGTGGTTTACCATTCCTAAAAGATTGAAGATTAAATAAATGAAAGTCAGGCTACATCACTGGCTACCCTTGAATAGATCGTTAAAGTTTCCGTTCTGTTGATGGGCTTCGTCGCGGTCAAGGAAATAAACATGGCTTGTTTATACGGCACAGTTTCATTTCACTGAGCGATAAGATTGACCAAGTTTAGACTTGACTAGATTATTAGATACTGCAGTGTATATTTTTCAGGCACTGTTTCGATAATGGCGAAGACAAACCCAGGTAGTAGTTCTTGTAACGGTATATTGAACAAGATTAACAACAAACTTCCGAATTAAGAATTTACAGCCGGTGTGTCACTTTGATTACTTATACCTCTCTGAAGTGGACAAATCAATTTTCTGCTTTCTACGGAAAGGCGTTTGGAAGGTATTTCATTAGAGCAATTTTTACGTTTTGCGAAAACTGAAATCCACGATAAAAACCTGAAATGACTGAGGATATTTGTGCACTGGCGGCACACTTTTGCATATGATATGTCGCAACGTATTAGCAAGGAACTGAACAATATTCTTGGTTCAGTTGAAAGGCAATTCTGCCACCGTAGTCAAATACATGTACACAACTTGATGGAGGAATTTTGATTAGTTAATATTGCTTAAAAAACTTGAGTGGCGCGTGACTGACAATTGCATTGGTTTCCTGGCAAATCATGTCGGGTGAATTAAGATACAGAGAGAGCACAGCGGTAAACGTATAACTTTTTTTATCAGAAGGATAAATTTCACGGGATACAAGAATTTGCCTTACCAGTTATTTGCAAATCGATTTTTACTTGAAAAGCGATCTATATCAATGCTCTTAAGTTGCCCAGTTTGTATAATATCAGATTTTTGTCGGGCACTGAGTTTTGTTTAAAAGTTTCGGTGGATTTCAAGTTGCCTGAACAAGTCCAAATCGAGCATGAATTCACATTTCGTCAAAATCTACACAATTATGGCGAGCTTTGAAAACATCAGTTCTCCACAACATGGTATCAGCAGTTTTTTTCATTGTTGGTTCTCAATATAGCTTTTACGCAACTCAATATTGCAATGTAACGATGAATGCCAGCTTGCAATCTTGATGAAAATCTTTGATTTCCTTTTAACTTGCTATTGTTTTCTACTAAGCTAAAGACTGTAAAATAAATGTATGTTCAAATAAACTTCCGTGTCTTCAGTTCAGAAGTCTTTTCCAGCCCAATTTGGTGATTTAGAGTAAGTTTGTTTAAGTGACGGTAAACAATTAAGGCAACATCTTGTAGGTAGAATTGTTGAGATACGCTAACATAAAAGTAATGTAATATCCAGCGAAGATGTCATTGGCTTCCAGAATTCTGGAAAGAGTCAACAATCTTGGTCGAGATCATTGTTGTACAGTAGCAAAGAGGAAAGCTTTCCCTCGCGCACCTTAGAATTAACTGAGAAACAACGTACTTAAAAGATGGAAAGCTCTGATCCAAACAAACACGGTGATTTATAACTCCAGTAACTTTCTTCGATATGCTATTAACAAAAGGCTTTTAACAAAGTTTTGATACCGATTGAGTTTTGGTTGATAAACTGACATCGCGATGTTACGACTGTTAATGTTTGATCCAAGCATGTGTAAAATATAAATAAATGAATCCATATTCCAAATCACATACAATAATAAACCATTTTGAGTATTGAGCGTGAACGCTGTTGCTGTTAATAATAGCTCTAAACTTCCTGAAGAAAAGAAAAGAAAAGAAAAGAACATAACGGTAGTTGTTAACAAATTTGTAATTTACGTCAATTAAAGCTGTCAAATTTCAAAAAAAGAAGTTATGGACGTAATTGGTCGTAGATAAATAATATAAAGAATTCAATACACCATGCAAGTCTAATATAAATATCTGCGTTATGCATGACACGTTTTCTTTTAAAATGTACTTTGAACACGCCAGCTAATACTGAGACTGTGACTGCATAAGGAATTAAAAGGAAAAAAAATGAATATTTGTGAGTTGATTATTCTCAGTCCAAAAAAAAAAAACTTTACCTTTGACCCGCTTCTTTCAGTCAAAATAGTTGGATAATAACATTCAGTGTATTTTGACTCTCAAGTTTTTTTTAGCTTGTTGAGGTCCCCGCGTGATCATCGTAAACCACAAGTGTCAGTGTGTCAGGGAAAAATTATTCCTGGGTGTGGGCAATATCGACTTTTATATTAGTAATTCCTCCAGTCTTTTGTTGAGTTACATAGGATAGTATGTGTATATAATCAGTTCGCAGAGCGAGTATAGTCACGTCACAAGCTTTGTCGCGGATCGAACACCATCATTGCTTGACGCCGAAAATGTCCGACAAAAACAGAAATTCACTAATTAACATTACTTGTAATCCCATCTCTTACTCAGCATCTCCAAAAGGGCGCAGGTCTTCGCAGACGAGAGGAAGTCGATTGGTAAACAAGAGCGGTAAGGTGCACTTACGTTCTTCCAAAGTACCTCAGAAAAGAGAACGATTCCTGGCCGATTTCTTCACGTCTTTGATCGATGCGAAATGGCGATGGGTTATCGTGTTGTATTCTGCGGGTTTCATCCTCAGTTGGTCGTTGTTCGGGACTGCTTGGTTTGTGATCTTTTGGCTCCGGCATCGATACGACAATGGCGTAGTCTGTGTAGATAATGTTGATTCTTGGACATCGGCGTTTTTATTCTCAGTTGAAACGCAGACCACAATTGGATATGGTGGACGGCAGGTATGAAAACCTTATTTGCACTTTATGTCCTTTGTTGAGTTCAAGTGAGCAGTTCACGGGATGTTTTCATCTTCACTGGGTTCAGCTGTTCTTGTTCTAAAACTGATTAGCACATTTCAGGAAGTGTTCGACTGGAAGAAAAGGCTAAATTCAGGCCCTGTTAATGGTAATTTCACTCTAAGCTGTGTAAATCTGTCCCCTCTCTCTGTATTTTCTAAAAGAGGTAGTTTCACTCTCGGCTGACATGTCATTTTATGGTCAGATAGTTCAAACACGCATAGTTCTCACTACAATGTACAAAAACGCGAGATTTGTCATTTTAATTTGAGCTAGCTAACCAAGTATAGTGAGTCAGACTACGAAATAAAAATTAGGAAATTATGGCTGCTAAGAGAGCGTTTAAACCAAATTTTATACAACTTTTCGCCAAGGATTTTCAGGTCTAATGACACGGGTCTTTTTATTTTTGTTGTGTTAAATACGTGTTGAAAGTCTACGAAATATTAGACGAAGTAGTTAAATTCGTCCCTATAGAATTATCGGCACTTTAGATATACCCACTTGAGCGTAAAAAAAATACCGAGAAAAATGAATGTGCGGGCGGAGGTTACAGTCGAACAACAGGTGCAAGATGACTCACAAAAGTGTGAATAAAAGACAAATAAAAAAGCCGTGCTTCTACGTGAGAAATTTGCCGCCGATATTGAAAGAACTGTGAAATTCAGAGAAAGTTGAGACGGTACTTCTAGACAAGTAAGGGTTATATTGAATCAATGTGCCAATATTACCTTAATATTGAGGCAATATTGGTTTGTTTCAATCATCACAAAAACAGCAGCTCAGGTTCTTTGTAAACTCAGCGAAGAAATTGAAGATAGTTGGGCAAATCGTTTTTAGAAAGAGTTTCAAACGTATGATAGGCAATGATCATATTTAGAAGTGCGAGAAGCAAACGAAATTTCAAAAACTGATAAGGATCGAACAGTAATTAGCCAGTATCAACAATGATGACGTTAATATGTCCCTAAGGGCTGTTACGCTGTTATTACAGCTATTTAGAGTATTGCCTTGATAAAATCATAGTTCATCTTTGCTGCCGGAATCGCTGCATAATGTTTGATGTAGCTTCGATGAAAGTATTCTTCGCATGCTAACATAAAAGTGACTGCTGATTAGAGGCATTACCAAGTTTGGATCCATTTTTTTTTCTCTGTTTAATTTAACAATGAATTAGATTCGTGATATTTAGTCCATGATGCGAATCTTGTCTGAATGAAGTGCTTAGGCATGTAGAAGTCTAAATCCGCGACATCTTGATGAGACCAGAAGAGGGGACTTGTTGCGACGACAGTTTTCCTCGTGTGACATGCTGGTCCAGTTCTTGTCCCTCTCTCTGTCACGCAACGCTCCGCTCTCGGAGAGAGAGGGCCCCTCCTCCGAGAGCGGAGCGTTGCGTGACAGAGAGCGGGACCAGAACTGGACTAGTGGCCTGCCCGTTTTTGCAATAACGTGCTGTTGCGGGGACAAGATTTTTTCCCAGCAACATGTTGCGTGAAATTCAGCTGATTTGAATTCGTGGGTCATGAAGCAGGGACAAAATGGCCTCAATTTTCAATGTCGCACGGTGTACACTGCTCTCGCAAACTGTCCCCGCTACAATATAGAAATGAACCAATATGCGCTTCCAGTGCACCAGCTTGCGTACTTTTCCTGCGAACATGCGTCCTGTGGGTACACACGAAGGCCCTTGTCCCCACTGCAAGTCCCTGCAGTGTGTGCCGACCTTTACTTTGAAATTGTGCCATCTGATTAACTGTGGCTGAATATTCCTGTGCGTGCAATAAACAGACACTCTTTTCTATTCTTTTGCAGATAACCCCACAATGCCCCGAGGGTGTGGTATGTCTTCTGCTCCAGTCTCTCACGGGCTTACTTCTGTCTACGTCACTCCTTGGCCTCATTTTCGCGAAACTTTCCCGCCCTCGTCCTAGGTCCCAAACGGTGATGTTCTCGAAGCACGCTGTAGTCGCTCCGTACGATGGATTCTTATCTTTAATGTTTCGCGTGGGAGACGCGCGAAAAAGTCAGTTACTCGACGTGGCAATCTCACTTCACTGTTTCCGTTTTCGGACCACCGCGGCGGGCGAAGAGTTCTTGGTCTCTCAGCAAGAACTTCCAATCACCACGGAACATGGTATCGAGATTGGCGAGCAGATTAAGCCATTCTTTCTAATACCTCTGACAGTCGTGCATGTCATTGACGAGCGCAGTCCGCTGTACGAGCTCGGGGCTCAAGAACTCGCAGCTTCCCGGATAGAAATTATTGCTGTTCTGGAGGGCGTCGTGGAATCAACAAGCATGGTTACCCAGGCCAAGACTTCTTACTTAGCCGAGGAAATTCTTTGGGGTCAGCGGTTCCATCCTATTTCGCTTTGTCGAGGCAAAAAAGCTGACTTGTCATCTTTTGATAAAACGTACCGTGTGCGAACGCCCCCATTTTCGGCCAAGGAGTACGAGAGATCAAACCAAAAAGGAATAAAAATCGACGAATACAAAACGTCTGTAAGAGAAAAGGGAGAACTATCAAATGGAGATGATTATCAGGTTTGGATTCCCATAAAACGAAACCCAGAATCATCGACGAAAAACGAAACTAATTCCAATAATAACTCCGACATAGTTTAAAGCATGGTGAACCAGCCGACATATGCCATGTTGAAAGAAGAAACTTGATCAAAATGATCACACAGCATTTTATTCTAGCTGATCATGAAAGACGTCTTTTTTCAACAGTGTATGGTTGTTTAAAACTAGGTATTCTCCTCAGGAAAAATCGGAAAGAGAGGGAGAGGCCAACGGAAGAAAGGAGTGTATATTAATGGCGTGCAACTTCAAAAGTGCCATGAAAATGAATCGGAAATGAAATGCCCCTTTGTTAAAAAGAAAGTAACAGCAGTAACAAAGAGCAAGACTTTTTTGAATTTGGATAGAACAAGCAGAAATCTTGTAAATAGGTATTTTTATAGCCATATTTTATTGTTATATTTTTTAATGAAAAATGTAGCCTAAACACTCTCACATTTTAAATGTGTTAAATTAGTTTTTCGCATACATGTACATTAAAATAAATAAATTTTAATAACGGCGTATTTTTTCCTTAAATTAGGGCTTGGCACAATTTAATTTCATCTTAATTATACTTGTAAACTAAACGTACAGAGAAAAGAACTATATTTTATAAGTGGCAATAACAACAACAAGGATGTTTTCAAATAAAACCTGTTTATACATCAAGTCCATCAAGGATCACTTACTCAATCACTCTGCTAGCCCGTGAGGGAGGTAATAACCAAGGTTATCACCCCCATCCCCCCCCCTACCCCACCCTGACATTTTCCTAAGCGATACATATACAAACAAGTGATGAAAGTACCTTTACAAGAATTTGATGAAACAGAAAGAACAAGTTCAAATTTATGAGCAATGAGAGTGATAACTTTGTTTGCTTGTGCCTACAGCAGCGAAACACCTAGCTGATCTCACGGTCACCCTGACGAGCAAGCGAGTGAGTGACCGTTGGCAGCCATAAATCCTAACAACTATCTCCCTAGTTACATAACGCGTTCAGTTGACGATAGTTCTAGCATAGGTTACCACCTTCATTATTCGAAATTTATTTTACAAAGCAAGATATCTGCGCATTACCATAATACAATTTTACAGGCGCCACGATCAAGCTGTAGCAAGCAGTTCAATTAAGCATGCATCTTATCCCAAAGCATTCCTGGCGAAGTTTCCTTTATTGGTCTAACTTAATTCCTCTCTCTACAGACAGAGCCGGGTAGAACTTTTTCTTGCCATATTGAGCTATTTCTTCTTCCAATCAGACTACTGAGACCATCGTCTTCAGTTCACGTCAAAGCATTTTCTTTATTTTGCAACAGCTTTTTCGCTTCCTTCATTCTCCCGACTCAGAGTACATTGATGCTAAGCCGATGTCTTACAGCTACACAGGACGAAATCACCCGATCAGCATCATTCCATTTCTGTCGTTTCGTGTAGGTGGCTTCGTACAAGTCGTCCATCTCAATAAGTCCTAGTCCTCATCGTCTGATAAGTCTTCGTCAAAAGCGTGTCTCCGATATCCTTCATCTAGAAAGACATAAAAGAGAGTCATCAGGCTCCTCTGTACACTCTAGTAGGTTAAATGAACACCAACAGTGTTTGGGAATATTGTTAGTTCATAAGATATTTCAGACTTAAGCAAGTACTGGAAAAACCAACGATCTAATGTCCCAACGTTTCGACGACCTTGACGACGCCATTATCAAGGAATTAATAAGTTAGAACGCGTTCATAAGAGGTAAGACCAGTAGATTTACATAAATGAAGTCAAGTTAGACAAAGGCTTAAGCCCGGATCGAGTCTGTTTGCACATCCAAGCATGGTCTTAATTGTTTGATGTACAGCATTTCGTTAATTTAACAGTCACATTTATTCCAGCATTTTTTCAACACTTTGAAACAACTCTCATTTATTCATTCCTTGATAATGGCGTCATGAGGTCGCCGAAACGTCGGGACATTATGTCGTTAGTTTGTTCTTGCTTATGTATTTCAAAAACATTGTTAATAAGACTTGAGACACTGAGGAGGAAAATGGATCTTGAACGTTACTAGAGAAAGAGACTTAGTTGGGGTGAGACGTAACGAGCTCGCCCCAAGCCCACTAACTAGACCTCTATCATTTACTAGTAGAATTCTACTAGTATGCTAATGCAAATGCTGTAACCTGATTGGCTGAGCCATTGAACACTATTAGTGTGCATTGGCTGGAGGTCGTCTAGGAAATAGCGACGTATTTTTCGTTTTTCCAAAGTTTTGGAGGAAAGTTTGATGCAATTAAATTATTAGGAAGTCTAAACGAAGGACATTTACGGTTTCTTGACTTTTAAAAAAGTTGAAATTATTGAAAAAGCTGATGCGCGCTTGCACACAACTTCAATTTTAAATGACAATTCAATCCGAGCGATCTTTTTCAGGCGCAAAGTTTAATAATACGTCAAGAAATAATTGGAAACCGTTACTTGAAGTAAGTTTTAGTAAGAATTCTACTAAAACAATTAAATTATTCGCTCTCGATTTCTATGAGGTGGAAGTTGATGAGGCCGACCTCATAGAAATCTCGAGCTCATAATCTAATTGTTAATTATTTTCACTACAAGATCAAAGCTTTTGACGTTAACTCACCTGAATCAAAGCCATAGTCTTCATAATATTTTCTGTCTTGTGACGAATCTGACCACTGCTCATCCTCATCTGGATAATCATTCCGCCAGTTTCCTTCATCTAGAAATTTCAAAGTGTGAAGATTAAATTTTGGGGTTGCACTTCAGTTGCCATATTTAATAAACAACACAAACTAACATTTCAGCCTTAGCTCGTCCCAGATATCTCGAGGTTACCAAAATGTAACATCACGTTAAATAAAATGAACAACGATTTCAACCTCTAATACGACACGCTTTTAAATGATTAAATACGACAAAATACAGTAAAAACCTGGTTACAAGCCTCTCTGCATATCCGCCCCCAGCCCCCATCCGCTTATAGGTCCAGCTGTATGTTGCGGTTGATAACTTTTCCCGAGTAGAAATCTCCCCCCCAAAAAACAACGAAAATATTTTCTTTTATTTCTTACTAGCACATAAAGTAAGTTAACACATAAACTTACTGTTGTTTTTGTCAGTCTATTGCGAGACATTATCTTTTTATGCTGCTTACAGAAACAGCATCTTTGTTTTAAAGCCCTCTACCCTGTTTGTAAGCCCGAATGGAAACGCCTTACTAAGTTACGTACAGTAGGCCTAGCGCTTATAGCGGTAATTCTATGAAATTAAAACAGGTTTAGCTATTCCAAGCACAAAAGTGTTGTCTACCAACCATTTGAATCGTCCTCGTCGTCATAAAGTTCACCAAAATCTCCCTCCAGGGTTTCGTGAACGAGATCAGAGTCAAAAGGCAACACTTCAACTCTACAGAAAAATATTGCAGATTTAAGCGAAGATTTTCTTAATCAGCTCTTATTTTTTGATAGGTTCACAATATAAACTTGTGGGAGGTGCGTTGGCTTAACCCTAACCCTAACCCTTAGTGCCTTTGACTCCAGAGTGAGCAGTCCAGCTTCAAGCTCTAGCCGGGGACATTGTGTTGTGTTCTTGGGCAAGACACTTTACTCTCACAGCGCCTCTCTCCGCCCAAGTGTATAAATGGGTAACGGTGAATTTAATCGTGGGAGTTAACCCTGCGATGGACTAGCATCCCATCCAGGGGGGAGTAGAAATACACCTAGTTGCTTCATGCTACTGAAACCGGGATAAGCTCTGGAATGATGAGCCACTTGGCTCGTATGCAGACTTTACCATGCCTCGCAATATAGACTACCTCCAGCCTTGAGTGCTCTCGTGTTTCCTACCGTTTTATTTCCTTTCCCCAACTATAACTGAAACTTTTACTATTGCCTTAAGCTCTCATCCAGTTCCTTATAAAAATTTTAAAAAAAAAACCTCCCTCAAGTGCTATACTCGAATACACAAGATAACATATTCTTATAGACAAATGTGTAATACCTTGCTGATGAGCACCACATTCATGCAGCATTGACAAAAGAAAGTAAAATACTTACATATCACCCAGTCTTCCATAATTATCACTTGGGTAATAAAAGTCATAGACATATCCCTCTTTATCTGACTTTATCTGTTCTGTTCTTGGTCCTAACGCAAGGTATTCAAGACAAGCTTCAGTTAATGACACGTGCACATAATGCTACAATACAAGTGTTAAGGTGTTACTTTCCACTGGCTGAGTGAAACAAAATAAGTGGAAAATGTTTTTCTCATACACTACTGTGTTGCATCTGCCATTACTGACCTTTTGGGCTTTTCTGTCAGATAAAACTCAGTTTGTGCTGCACAGTCCAAGGTATATTCAGTCTCTAATACCATGCTGAGGGAGGGAAGATGTTCAAGGCCTAGCTCATGAGCTTTTCAGCTCTTAGAGCCATACAATAGGAGCCCAGCTGGGCAATCTCATAGTCAATTGTCACACAGGAATTTGGCCGAGTAAACTCATGGCAGTCAGTCCGGCATGGCTACTAGTGGTATGTCAGAAATTCATTTAGTAAAAACACACAGATATCAGAGATAAACATCTCTGAGTCTGAGTCAATATCAAGTGTATAAATAAATTTGTGGAGGAAGGAAAACCTGATAATCAGAGAATAACCCAACATGTAGCTAGGGGCAAGGACAAAAAGTGGACCAACAATCAGTTTAACCCACATGGGATGCTGTAAAGAGGATTTGAAACAGGGCACATTACTGAAAGGTGAGCATTCCTTCAACTGTGTTATCCCTGCTCCCCTGAAAATGTTTGCACAAGGCGGCAGATTTCCAGGGTTTTTAATGTCTACATCTTTCAAAAATCTGCAATTATCCAAACAATAAACTATCATTTACCATCAGACACTGTTAACTTTTCTCGAATCATTTTCACTGAGTTACAAAGAATAGCATTTGTATCTTCAGCCTGTTTTGCCTTCCTTGCTAATCTTTCTTGTCGTTTGGTGTCACTGCAATGAATAAGACATAGCATGCACATGTAAACAAAAGAAAACTACAGTGCCTATTAAGTGATGATGAACTTAAGATTTGAGGAAACAGTTGAACCAATGAGAAGAGACCACCCATGAGGTCAGGCTGACTTAGTTGCATGGAGAGGTCAGACCACAGGGGAGCTAAATTTTGAGTGGCAGCCTGCAGTTGTTTCAGAGGCTTATTCTGTACACAAATGCATAAGTAAACCCCAAACTGCTGTATTCAAGCGCAAATCTAGTAATTTGAATATAATTCAGTGCATCCAGGTCTGATCTCATAGTTGCAATATTAAATTAATATTAATAATATCAATACAGTGGAACCCATCAATACAGTCACCAATGGGCCATTAAAATTTGGCTGTATTAACGGGTGGCCATATTAAATTGGTAGGGTCAAATTTCATGATAAGTCTAAATTGAAAGTCTCAACAGGAATTTCACAGTTTTATTCCTAAACAGCTGTTATTTAATAAGCATCCAGGATGCAGATACAATTTAAAAAAAAAAAAACATTGAAACTTCAATCAAAAAATTATAAACGATTATACAGGTTTAATGTGGCCATTGGCCATATTAATTGGGGTGGCCGCATTAACAGCCAAATCGGAGTTTCAAGAGTTAGTGCGATGTGCATGCGTTTTTATCCCTAATTTATTCCATTCTTTTGTTATTTAAAGAACAAAACAAAAGAAGAGAATAAATTACGGAGGAGATGGCACACACACTGAACTTATTCTTGAAACTTTGCTTTGACTTCAAATGATAATAAAATCAGTTTAATATGTAGTAAAAATGTGCTCACCTACTGAGTGACTCTTCATCTTTGACAAGATCATAAACACTCAGAAGTCTTTGCACTTCTAAATCAACATCATCAATGGCTTCCTCTGTTGCTGCATCCGTCCTCTGTACTTCCTCAGACAATCTAGTGTTACTATCTGATTTGCTGTTAATAATAATAATATTTAACAAAATAACTTGAGTAATCTATTAAACTCACAGAACCCTGGAAAGCTAGCAGTTGGGTGCATTTTTTGGGCAATAGGGGAAAGAAGTACAGTTGTTTAGCTCTGCTAATAGTCTGTATTAATGCACCTGGTTTGTGTTGTGCAAGAGCATGATGTGGACTCCTATGGAAACAGTTACAATTATCGGGCACTTAGTTCTTAGAAGGAAAATCAAAGTGGTTAAGTGTAATATATTATGCAATTTTTGAAAGTAAATCAACTTGATTGAAAAAGCTGTTACAGGAATATATGTAGCTAACACAGCTTGCAGTGTAGTTACACGAAAATAACATAAACGAGGTTTGTCAGTTTGTTTACAGTGATCTTCCATTTTCTTTTCTATCTACTACTAACATTTGCTTATATGTCTTCTCTTGTTGTTTGATACTAGTTGTAAGTTGTGTGTTAAAATAGATAAATAAAGAAAATTATTCCACGCCAAATAGAATAGAAGGAAAAGACACCATACCTAGCTGAATCTGTTCCATTTTCCCTGTTTGAAGAAATGACTTTGAATCTGGCTTCCTGATCTAGAAGCTAGTAAAAAGACATACAAAGAGGTTGGCATTAACTAAACCCAGAAACCAAGGAGAAACATTGCACATTTGTATACATCACAACAGCAAAGGGTGGATATATTTCCTTATGATAGCATTTTTATTTCATTAGTATAAATATCATGTATTACAATATTCAGTACAAATGTAAATTTTTCAAACTAAATTCTTTGCATGCTTATCAACAAAGTAAGCAACATTTATATTTAAAATTAATTAATGAATAGAAGAAATACCTTCTTCTGTTGCCGCAGCCTATCTTGTATTGTTTGTTGACTCTGGATGTGAGATTTAGCCAGATTTTCATGGCTTATTGACTGCTTATGAATCCTGGCCTTAAAGACAAAGCAAAAACAACAGTCAAAGACCTTTAAAATAGTATTTGAAATCATTGCAAACAAATGGAAAAATTTTATATTAAAACAAGCTTGTCGTCTATTCATGATTTCCACAGGCATAATTTTTCAAAATTCCCTGACTTATCCCTGATAAAAATAAAACTTCCCTGACCAAATAAAGACAAAATGTCAGGTAAAATAGCGGCTTCTAGCCTCATTTTACAACCACCCCTTCCACTCTTTCATTAAGACTGATAAGTTTTCAACAACAATATCATTAAGATCACAGTGACCCCAACTGTTTCTACAAGCCTTTAATGGTATTAAATAAGCCATGTTAAATTATTTCAATTTTCCCAGGAATTGTCTTTAAAATGTCTATTTCCCCTGACTCAAAATAAAATTCCCTGACTTTCCCTGACGTTGAAGAATTTTCCCCCCTGATCATTTCCTAACCTGTGGCAGCCCTGTTATTACATGGTGATTTTTAGGGCTTGGTGGAGCACTTGTTACATTCTATTAAGAAATATACAGTAAAAAAGAAAGCAAAAGTTTTATTTACAGGAGAGCCTTTGCTAATGGACACAAGCTATTAGGCAGACACCTCCTGAAGGTAGACACATACATGTACGGACACTCCATTTTAGACCTTCAAAAGGTAGACACATTTCCCAGGTCCCAAGGATGTCTACATATGGGTTGGAGTGTCAATTGTACTTCTGGGAATACTTACCAGCAAGTCTTTTCTCTTAACATCATCTCCTTGTGGCACACTTCCAACAAACTTGAAAACTCGCTCAACTGAAATTAATGACATAAGACAAGACATTGAAACAAAAATGATTTTCACTTGTACACCCACGTAAATAAAAATATAACAAAAAGAATGGAATGCACTGTCGCACAATGAAACCTCGCTTTACACTCAGCTTGTAAACATAGCCACCTTCTTGAACTGCCTAACACATGAAATTATTTTTTGCATATACGTAATAAAATTCATTCTTTCTCTGCTCTCTGCCTTCTAGTATGATGCATGTAACAATTATAGCAATTAGCAAAACCTACAAACTGGTGCAACTTTAAGTTTAGGCGATCATATAGTTCTGCTCATCAGCTACATGTAAGAAATTGGTCAGAAAGCAAGACCTACAGGTAGCATATGATTGAAGTTTTTGACCCCCACGCAAGCTATTCACACACCAGGTGTAAGGGCTGGCAAGTACAAATTTCTTTCACTGTAATGTCAGCGGCCAAGATGAATACAATTTTTATTTTAAATTAATATATAACACCACAACTACACTAAATTAAAGTAAAGTGAATAATAAGTTTACACATTTGACGATTACCAGAACTTTACGTATTTGTTCAATATTATGCAATTTAATAATTACAGCCTTTGCCACATAGAAATAGACTAGTTAAATTTCCTTGTCAGACCTAAAAGTTGCTAGCGAAACCTGCGATGGATATAAAGTTACTATTAATCGCAGCATGTGTATTAAAGTTTAACTGGAAGAAATCTATACAGAATAAACGATGTCAAAGTTACCAGGCACACACCTGTTGATGTATCACTGGTTTTCAAATCAGTTATTTCCTTTGCACAGTCTTCGTTCTTTGCAATGTGGGGTTTCTTGAAAACTTGAGCGACAACTGGAAAATATGTCCACGCAGTGTGCTCAATAAGCTTAATAAACACTCGTCAGACGAGCAAATTTATAAGGGAACGACTCAATTCAAGATGCAACATAAACAGGAACTTCTTTCAAGTTTTGAATTGCAAAGAAATAAAACAAAATGGTTGAGAATCAAATTAATTATTTTACTTACGTAGTGCATCCAGAGCATCTTCCGTCCTTTTTCGTTTTATTCTCAGGACCACAGATCCATCGTTGGCCGCCATCTTGACAGCTCGTCTTGCTGAGCATGACGGGAAGCTTGGCTTCCAAAATTATACGTAGGCATGCAATGCATCCACGCGATGATAAAATTGTCTCTGTACCCGTGGTACATAAAAATTCAAAAGAAAAAAGAATAGAGAACTGATGAGGTAGAAAAATGTAAAAAAGTGTCATTCACAAAATTATATGGATTTCAAGAGTCACACGTCTATCGGAGAGAACAATTTATTTCTTACTGTTCATCCTAAGCATTTATTATTACTATCATCATCATCATCATCATCATCATCATCATCATCATCATCATCATCATTCATTGTGCTCGTTGCTGTTAAATTTTGCTTAATTAAACTCCCTAAATCCGAATAAACGGCCAAATAATGAACAGCCAAACGAGCACAAAACAAACGAAAGCCCGGCCGAACAAAAAGACGGCTGAGGGTGCTGAGAACATCTCTGCTATGAAACGAAATCAAAACATATAAAATTACGTTCCCGCCATTTCGTCTCAGGTAGTTTCGAGAAAGTCGCCTGGGCTGTACACGCATCGCGCGAGTAACATCCTTGGAAGAACTGGGTACCATGTCTAAAAATAACTTAGGAGGTTAGGGTTAGGGTTTGGGTTACCTATGAGGAGTGATGCTTTTTCTAGAGTAAGCATTTCCCCCAGTAAAAGGCTCTAACTGATAGGCAGCAAAGTTCAGAGTCTTCTGTAAGTTGAAAGCATTCTTACCGACCCTTACCGTATCAAGGAAGCAGTGTTTGCGGTGAATTTTTGGAAAAAGAACGGCGTTGTCTTTCTCTGCTCACATTTATAAATGGTAATGACTTTGAGAACAATGGCAAACCTGAGAGTTGCATTGCCACGATGCACTGGGTTGGAAACTCTTAGCCGCCACATCCATTAGAACAGATCTAGATTTTTCAACCAACTGAACCTATAGTGTTTAATAACTATGCTCCCCAGGTGTTACCTGTAGCTTGGTGATTAGAGTATTTAACCAGTGAGAAGAAGGTCTTTGATTCGACTCTCTTGGGGGACTTAGTAGTTCTTTGTCCCATGGTCCTGACAACTAAATTTACGTCTTACTCAAATTCAATTAAGAGATTGCAAGAGAAAGCGTTGTCTTTTGAGCTCTGCCCTCGAGGGGACTGTGTTAACACTAAAGCGTGTTTAGTGCAGTGGATCCCCGTTAATATGGTCACCAACGGGCCATGAAAATTTGGCCGTATTAACGAGGTGACCGTATTAATGGGTAGGGGCAAATTTCATGACTGGTCTAAATTGAGTGACGCCTTAGCAGATACATTACAGTTGCACTTCTAAATAACTTTTCTTTGATAAGCAACAGAATGTAGATATAATTTTCAAAAATGAGACTTCAATCAGTACATACTAAATTTACAATTAGAAAACATTCCTACGATAATATGCGCGCTGATTGGTTTGAAATCGTGTTTCTATTAAACAATTAGATTAGTTGACTCGGGCTGCGACCTCGTCAACTACCACTCGGGCTGCGCCCTCGCCAACTATCACACGATTGAAATCTCGAGCTCATAATCTAATTGTTTATTAATTAGTATAAATCTACTAGCGTTTTATTACGAATGCTGTACTCTGATTGGATATGCTACTCACTATCTATTCTGTGATAGATAGTGAGTAGCGTAGCAGTGTCCGCTTGTTAACAAAAGGACGGCCGCTTATTGGCGTTTTCAACTCGAAAGCCGGCCTTTTCCCACTTTGGCAAACACGAAAAAAAAGCAATTTGACGTAATCTGTTGTCTATACAAAATGAAGCAATCTCATTGGTTGCTATGCGTGGCAAAGAATTGTGATTGGTACAGGAAAATCACGCCACTGTCAAACTCAACTCGAGCGTGGCTGCTTCTTACACCACAGAGAGCACACAATCTTGTTGAGTAGGAAGGGAGTAACTACGCCTTTGTCTCATGTCGCTTCTTACGAGAGCTGACAAGGTAAACCGCTACCTACATGTCCTGCATACGTCTTGCATAACACTGTAGCACTAAGCCTTTTCGCGTTGTGCAAAAATTTTTTTGGTTTACAAATAACATTGACAAGGGAGGCAACTCTTAGCCTCCGAGCAGGCTCATGTTTGAGTCACGTGCGCAAGCGGAGAGCAAAGCGATCCGCCGGGAAGGAGTCTGGTGAAGAAGCTTTGCCGCTTGATTTCACGCTCGCGCCTACCCCGCGCGCGCTTGTGCTTCAACGTAAGCCTACTCGCGGCTATTTCGCGAATTACCACCCGTATTGCAAGTGCCGCAACATAAATCATTGACCATCATTGCGCCGAGCTATACACGACGAGTTCATTTTTTTTTTGTAACATGTTGCCGCAGATTATTGCGGCACAACTGATAGTAAGCACAATGACGCTTTTCAGCTTGTAATGCAACAGTGTTGCGCAGCAAATTTCAAGAACGAAGCTACCCGTATAAATTCGACTTAAAGTCCAATCGGTGCAAACTTTCCATCTGTGGGATTGGGGCAATCAAATAAGGTTTTATCTCACTGATGAAGACAATGGCAGCTATTTACACATGAAAGGTTAAAGAAAGCTTTTACTTTAATAAAAAGTACTTCGGTCAACTAACTTGGTACAATCAAGCTAAACTAAGCCAAAGAAGTTGAGTAGTTTTAGTCGGGCAGAATATTTGGAGACTACATACTTTTAATACTCTTGTAGTACCATATCATACATACGTCTCGTCTAAGAATAAACCACACACAAAACATTTTTTTGGAGAAAAAAATTATATGGTAAGTCACCTACACCTATGACTACGAAGGTGCGTGAATAGACTACTGGAGTGGCTAAACGCCTCGTTACATTGTGGACACTGAAATGGCTTTTCACCTGTGTGAGTACGGAGGTGCTTGGTCAGAGTACCAGACACGTTAAACGCCTTGTTACATTGTGGACACTGATATGGCTTTTCACCTGTGTGAGTACGGAGGTGCGTGGTCAGAGTACTAGCCCGGTTAAACGCCTTGTTACATTGTGGACACTGATATGGCTTTTCACCTGTGTGAGTACGGAGGTGCTTGGTCAAATGACTAGCCTGGTTAAACGTCTTGTTACATTGTGGACACTGATATGGCTTTTCACCTGTGTGAGTACGGAGGTGCGTGGTCAGAGTACTAGCCTGGTTAAACGCCTTGTTACATTGTGGACACTGATATGGCTTTTCACCTGTGTGAGTACGGAGGTGCGTGGTCAGATGACTAGCCTGGTTAAACGCCTTGTTACATTGTGGACACTGATATGGCTTTTCACCTGTGTGAGTACGGAGGTGCGTGGTCAGATGACTAGCCTGGTTAAACGCCTTGTTACATTGTGGACACTGATATGGCTTTTCACCTGTGTGAATACGGATGTGCTTGGTCAGAACACCAGCCACGTTAAACGCCTTGTTATATTGTGGACACTGATATGGGTTTTCACCTGTGTGAGTACCGAGGTGCCTGGTCAGATCAATAGAGTGGTTAAATGCCTTGTTACATTGTGCACACTGATATGACTTTTCAATTGCATGAGTACGGAAGATCTTATTCCGATGGGTAGACTGAGTCAACGTCTTGTTGCATCGTTTAGACTGACACTGCTTTTCATCTGCATGAGTACTAGTATGGCTGTTAAAATCATATAACGATGTGAATTTTTTCCTACAGAGTTTACATTCCCAGATTTTTGCAATTGTTCTGGATGAACAGTAGTATCTCTTGTGTCTCTGTAAAAAGTTTAAGGAAGTGTACATCCTTTCACAGCCCTCGCAGGTGTAGCCAACACCTAAAAATAGAAGAATCAATTTTTTACATGATAAAAATAGACATACCTTGACAGTTTTTGTCTGTCGGAAATATCCTTATCGTGACAACGATGACATTTCGCATTGTTTAACTCTGCACAATCATGCTATTAGAATTGATTTTGATGTCTAAAGTCTTGCACAATAAGTTAATTTCACGGTAGAAACGAAATCCCTCCAGCTGGCGACATCTGAGTGTCAAGTAAATTTTGAGCGCTATACACCTCTAGCAGTAAATACGCACACCTTGCTAATTCTACTACTTGGTGATTTTGTTATCGGCAGTCCTGAGTTCAGCCACTTGGTACGTTCGTGAAAACAGCCAGCTACTGTACTTCCCGACATAGAGCAAAATGTCTTGTTCCATTACTTAATGTTTTGTAACAAACGAATCGTAAGCAAAAATGGAAATGAGATAAATACAGTATTGAGTTCGTTGACTCTGTTGGTTTAATACCTATTGAAATACTGTGGTCCTGATTATCACAGGGGGCTATTCCTAAATCTTGGGCGTAGCTCTCTCCGTACCACACCAGTAGCTCTTTCCCTGGAGTTACTGGCTTGTAAGTACGGTAGTAAATCTCGCCTCTATACTGATAAGCAACCAAGTTCTGCTCGTCTTCACATCGAGAGCAATTTACAAACCGCATCCAGTTGCTATGGCTTTCATCTTGACCATCTAAGAAATGACTGAACTTGCCATCTTTCACAATCTAAAAAAAAATTATACTATAATGCTGCGCCTGAAGCCTACAGTAGCTGTATACGAAGAACATACATTCACATAATTCCAAAATTCCATCAGAGTCAGGAAAGGCAGGAAAATGATAAATAGTTAATTTCAAAATCAATGATGCATTGAAAATATTTACTGTTCAAAAGCGCCATCACGTTACAACCCGGAACTCCCCGAAACTGAATAACTCGGAGAGAGGTCTCTCCAATTTTTTTTTTCTTTCGGGTTCACTTGCAATATCTTAGGGGTGTTCCTTCCCGGCCGGAGTGTAACGGTTGATCATCGCTACTTCGGCGATTCACTGCGATGTTTCACTACGAATCGGTTTTCGGTTTGGAATTCAGAAATAAACGCGGAACAGTTCAGAAATTAGATTACCGAGACTTGAACGATGCAGTTTGTAAAGTGATTTATGTCCTACCGGGAGCCATAATCGGGGACGGAGACCGTAAGTCTTGGGATCCGCGTGCACCTATGATATGGGACAATTTTTCTATTTTTAGAACAAATTGCGCCATC